TCAGTTCACAGTTGCCATATTCCCTTGCTGCCACATGGTGTCGCTGCTAGGAAGCATAGCACCCAGCAGAGGAAGTGGATTGGCACCGTGGGCACCTCTCACTGGCTGGTCAGAACGTGGCTGGCTTCATGGGATGAATAGGCTAAGATGGCACAGACGGAAAACAGGGCTTCCTTCCTAGGGCAAACCCCAGAAATATACTCCTGAGTCTAAGCACCTGATTTTCCCATAATCTTCTGCGGGCATGCATGTATGCACGCGTGCGTGCGCACACCCACCCACCCACCCACCCACATCCACCCACCCACCCACCCACACACACACACACACACACACACACACACACACACAGAGAGAGAGAGAGAGAGAGAGAGAGAGAGAGAGAGAGAGAGAGAGAGAGAGAGAGAACATGTCTGACAGGAGTGGTGTAGACAGATGTATACAACCCCAAATGGACCCATGCCAGGTCACGCTGCATAGTATTGTGTATCTTCCTTTTGTAAAATGGTGAATGTGTGCTTGTATTCATTCTTCTATGTAATATCTTCTTAACCAATATTGACCATTATACTATATGCAGAATTCATTATATATCTGATATTTTTGTTCAATTTTGTTTTTTAATTCTTAAAGGAAGTAAAACTACTTGGGGAGCATTACAGCTTTGTGGGTCTCAGTTCCAAGCCCCTGGCTGTGGCTCTGACTCCAAAGCCCTCCCCCCCCAGTACTGCTGGGTTCCTGTCATTGCTGCACCTGTCACACCCAGAAGACCCCCTTATCTCTGGTGAGTCATGTCAGAAGGATCAAGGACGTGTAGACGTCTTGCTTCTCCGTGACTGAGCTACTTCTTCATGCTGCCCGAGCTTTGAGCACTTATGTAGAGTCTGGCTTCCTTGCATGGAGGCCACCTGAGGTCTAATCTGCTCTCCTCCCTGATTTTGAACTAGTTTGTTCTCAAGGTCACTTATATACATCCTGACTATAGTCCCAGCCTGCCTGGATGGCCGTTTCCTAGACCCTCCAGCCTGTTGAATTCCCTTGGCCCCTGAACAGCACCCTACCCCTTCAGTCCCCCCTCATACCCAGGGCCAAGGGCCAGCCCAGGATCCACTTCTTAGACTGGCCAGCAGGTGGCATCAGGTATCTGACCAAGGACCAGGATCTTCCTGTGTACTACCCCCCCCCCCCAATCCCACTGCAAGCGAGATCATCTGGGATGTCCTGGAATCTTGACTCCACCCTCTCAAGTGGGACTGCTTTGTGCCCTCAATAGGATGTGGAAGTGGGGGAGTGAATATAGGTCTCCCTAGGTTGAAGCCCCTAGAACTTTCACTCTGCAGAGTGCTGGGTAGCTCCTACCCTGACCCCCATATGCAGCCCTATCTCTAGTGACAGACACAGGACAGGGCAGATGCCATCTCTCAGGGAGCTACCCTGACTGCAGGGCTCCTCAGGGCTCTCAGATGCCCCCTGGTGCTGCCTCTACAGATGGCCACTATGTGTCCTTGTCTATGTCTGGAGTACTTGAGCTCCATATGGCCCAGGCCATCTCCCAGTGTAGTGTAGGAGTCAGGAGGTGGGTGTTGACTTGCAGGCATGTCAGCCTGCTTACACAGACACAGCTGGCTGTGGTAGTCTGAGGCTGGGCCTGTGTGAGGATGAAGGGGTGGGGAGCTGGGTTGAGTAGGAGGGTGGGCAAGGGATAGTGAAGACAGTGGACAGAGCTCCACTCAGGGAAGGGCGGAAAGGTCTCCACACTAGGCCATGAGGCTTAGCAAGGATGGATGGACAGAAATGAGATTCAGAGGAGAAGAGTTGACAGACTTGACCAACGAACCAACCACAGGACAAACAGAGGCAGAAAGGTGTATCATCCATCATGGCCCCAAAAGATGGCAGGGAGGAGACACAGTACATTTCATTGAGTGTCTGAGTACCTATTTCTCTGAGTGTCTAGCTGCCAATTCCTACATAGCCATCAAGACCCAGTTCAGATTGCCCCTACTTTAGGAAGTCCTCTCTGTTGCTTAATTCCTTTGGGTACTCTCAGCCCTGGATGTAGCATAATATTTGATCTTTGGGAGTGGCAGGCTAGGTTTAAGAAGCCTGGTAACTGAGGATGGACACAGACAGGTATTAAGGTTGCTGGTCTGCCCAGCAGGTGTGTGGGTACCCAGAGCCGAGGCAGGTCAGGCAGGACTCAGGATGGAAGCTGGGACAAATGGTCTTTACCATGGGAGAAGGCCAGAACACCAGGGCCAAGGTATTGACCCAGCCATGCCAACACCCACAAAGGAGGGTCCTTGGCATCTGGTCAGGTAAGAAAAGACTCTACATTCCTAGCTGAGGACTGACCCCTACCACTACAGCTGCCTGAACACAAGGCTTAGGGCCCCTGGTAGAAAGGTAAATGACCATTTGGTCTAAGGATGGAAAGTTGCATTCAGGGCCACCCCAACACTGTCTGGAGGGAGGCAGGCATGAAAGTATGGGAATTCCTTGGATGTGGTCAGGACCATGGGCTGAGATCTGCCTGGACTGTGCCTGAGTACTGACTTGGGGGTCACAGGGATTGTTGCTCCACTGGTGTTGAGGTCAAGTGTCCTGTGCAGGGCCTGGGTGGCAGAGGGGCACATGCAATATGAGAGAGGTAATAATCACTACCTGAGCAGCTCTTGCTGGCAATGCTTTGTCCACACAAACATGACAATGGTGAGGTCAGTGCTCTCATGCCTCAACCACCAGTCCCCATATTTCTAGAATGACCAAGGACCAATTGTAAATTCATGTCAGAACAGTCTTTATTTTTATCCAGGCCCCACAACAAGCCCCCTCCCAATCTGTGGCACAGGCTCTCCATGTGGCTTGCTGAGCAGGGGCCTCCAAGTGGATGTGTCCCTGGGCTCCTCAGGGAAGGCAGTAGGTTGTATAGTTATCTTCTAAGGGGCAACATCACTGCCCTGAAACCACACAACCTACTACCTCACCCTGCGGTGTCCATGTTTTGGAGGAGGCCCTGCCACTCCCCACCCATCCTGGCCACAGGACACCAAAGCCATAGGGCACAGGGCACAGGGCACAGGGCAGGTGGGGAGGCAGAGACAGTGGCTCAGCAAGAAAGGCCTATACCCACCAGATGGACCAGGGAAGTCTCCAGTGTTTGAACCCATCACCCCAGGGACGGTGGCCTACTCAGTCCAGCTGCAGGCTATAACCATGGGATACCCAGGCATGTGAAGAGCCTTCCTCTCACTTCCTTCGTGGAAAGGGTGCCCTGTCTCTATGTAGATGGAGATGCTACCGGAGGCCTGACCTTAAGTTGGAAAGTCCAGATATGTGCAGCTCTGAAACAGCTGAAGGTCCAGTCTGGACCCTTTCCTTAGGGAGGCCTGTGAGCCCAGGACTAACTTGATGGGGTCAGGGGAAGGAAAGCCCTTCCTTCATGTGTCAAGGGAGAACAGGAGCCCTGGAAATGTCACATATCTGCTTTCACCCTCATGCCCCAGAGAGGTCAAGGGACTGTCCAAGGTCCCCGTCAAACGTTCTTTGCGAATGGCAGCTACCACTTCTTGTACCTCCCTTGGCCCTCCCCAACCAGGGCTGGTGTGGTGTCCACTGCAGATATTGCGGCCACTTCAGGAAAGACAGTAGATTGTATAGTTACCGCAGAGCGGGGCAGAGCCCAAAACCATACAACCTACTACCTCACCCCAAAGGCCGTCAGTCAGTCTTGGTGTAGAGCTGGACGTTATGGCTTCTTGAGATGGCTCCTAGAGGAAGAAGGAGAGCTGGGGAAAAGGGGAGGAGCCCGATGTGGCCAGCTTGGTGCTAAGGGTATCAACAGCGGACTGGGATTCCTCCAAAGTGGGCCAGACACTTAGACATAATCACCAAGCAGAAAGAATAAGGGAAGTGGGTGGGGGTGGGAGAAGAGAGGAAAAGCTGACCATTCACTAGGCAGGAATGGCCACAATGGGGGAAAGGAGTCACTTGTCAAAGGCCAGCCAGGTCCAGGAGGGAGCTCCCAGTGTCCACCTGGCTGAGACCCAGGCTCTGTGCACTCAGCTCTAGCATAAGCAGAGTTGGAGGCACCAGGATTCCAGCTAGGCAGTGGCCTTGGGTATGCACCCTCCTCTTCTTATACAGGAAGAGCCCTCCTTGAGGGCTCTGGCTTTGTCCCTGCCCCCTGCCCCCTCCCCCAAGTGGCCTGAGCTGACCTTGCTGGGGGAGGCTCAAAACCATTTTTTTCCTTGTGGGAGGCAGCCTAGCTCCCCATGGTGGCCAGCTGGGCGGAAGTGCAGACCCTGGCTGGACACTGATGGCCAGTCTGTCCTTGGCGACTAGCACTTCCTGAAGCCAGCAGGGACTCCGTGCTTGGCTCTGAGCTTGGGGCTTCCAGAGCCTTGGACAGAGCCCAGCAGGGAGGATGCCCTGGTAAGGACAGACAGCCTGGTGAGCATCATGATACTCACTGTGTAGTGGGACACGTAAGGCCCACTCTGGGGCAACAGTTAGCCTGTACATACTGTTTACAGCCACTAGCTGGGGAATCTTTGACAAGTAAGCCCATCTTATAAGCAGGGCCTACAGCCTCCCCAGTTGAGCAGTAGCAATGTACAGGAGGATTCTTCCCCCACTTGTAAAAAGCTTTCATAGCTCTCTGCTCTCTGGTACCAACATAGACGTGGAGGCTCTACTGCAGGCCTCCCTCTAGTTCTCTTAGCCAGGCACCAGGCTGGATGGAGTCGTCTAACCTTCCAGTTGTGAGGCAGGATCACTGTGAAGAAACTGAGGTTCAGAAGGCTCAGAGTCTCTAGCCCCAGGTGGCTCTGCTCTTAGAAGGGAAGGGACTTTGTCTTTCAGGCCTCAGACAGGTTTGCCCAGCAATGCAGAGGGAAGCTCTGTACCTAGTCCCAGGAAGCCAGGCAGCTTTTGCTCTGCATGAACCCCAGGACCTGATGCCATGCCTCCCTCTCCCTCCCTCCCTTCCCCTCCGTCCCAGCCAAGGATCACAGGAGCAAGTCTGAGGACCCTGGAGTCATTAGACTTAAGTCCACATTGTGTATCCAGATCTAGAATCTATGAGGTAGAGTGGCATGGGAACACTCCAGGCACAAGTCTCCTTGGCAGGTCCTCCATCAATCCCAGGTGGCACAGGGGTACTAGGATCACACTGGAGGGCTGAGTGATGGCACTGGGGGACAGAGAGATGACAGCTGCCTCTGAGGTCTTCAGAGAGCTCTCAAGGCTGGATGACCTGAAGGGTGCATGCCTGCAGACAGTGTAGACTCAGGGGAGAGAGGCTGTGCCTATTCCACTCAGAGCCAATAACAAACAGAACTGCAGCCCTGTTAAACCATGTCCAGCCTGGGTAAGCCGATAGGGGGTCAAGGATCATCATATCATGGTGCATCATGGGTAGATGAGATGAATCATCTGAGGGCAATCTGCTGGTGGGAGTCAAAGGCTTGGGGGAGTTCAGGCTCCCAGATAAAGGCATCTTAGCTGGGGTCCTGGAGCAGTGGCAGAGATGTGGTTTGAACCCTAACCTTTCTCACTCTGAGGTCTCCCTTGGCTCTCAACTTTCCCAAGGAAGGCTAGTGGGGCCCCACTCACCACAGGGGTGTCAGCTGCAAGCAGAAGCTCCTATTTGGCATCTCTTCCTGACCTGCTTGGGTTTAGAAACAAAAGCAATGATTAACAGCTTCCGAAGGGAGAAAGCCTGGCCCCCGGATGCCTCCCCTGGCTGCACCCTGCTAGCTCTCAGCACGGGACATTCTCCTCTGTCTGTCTTCTGCCTGGTGGCACTCTGCATGCAAAGCCTTGGAGGGAATGGCCTCTAAAACCAACCCTGTGCTGGACAGGCTGGACAGAAGCTATGACTCAAACTTCATCCATAGTGGCTGGGCAAGTCTATGTGGGTGGCCAACAGCCCGCCTGGCCACTGGCTGTGGGTCCTGAGGGAAGGAGGAAACACCGTGAGGGGACAGGCACACTGGCCCTCATGAACACTGTGGTACTTAACTGGATGGTTAATCCTCTCTCAGATGCAGTTTCCCTAGGACATAGGGCAAGAGGTGCCTGAACTCTCTCAAGAGCAGAGACCGAGGGATGGGGCTTGCTAGACCACAGGCTTGCTCCATGAATCAGGCACTATCTTACCTCCTTTGAGTCCATTCTGGCCACGGTATCATAGCAGAGTCAGCAGAAAGATGGAGGGCCAAGCAGGGACATGGTGGCAGCGAGGGAGCAGCCTGGCCAGCTGAAGGGCTCTAGAGCAGAGCCTGGGGTGTGGAACACAGAGATAAGCTCTGCTCGGGATCTACCTAGTTCTGTCCATCAAGCCAGAATGGTTTGTTACAAGCCTTGTTATTCCCACACAGCTCAAGAAAGAGGAAGATGAGGCCATTGGTTATTGAGGGTCTGGTGAGAACACAGGGTGGGAAAGCCCCCTCCCTCCCTGACTGCCAGCCTTGCCTGTACCCCAAGATGGCCAAGCTATCCATCACACTGACACCCTTTCTCTGATCCTTTCCATTGTGCCTATCAGCCCTGCCCCCAACCCATAAAGCAGCAAAAATGCACTGGGCAAGCCTCCTCTGCCCTCCTTGGCCATCTCCCAGGCCCTCCCCGCCTCCTGGCTTTTGCCCTGGACTGCCCCTCTGCCAGGAATCACTGACCCGTTTTTCCTGTTTCTTTCCACAAGCTCTTGCTCTCCAGGGGGCCTCGCTCTGCCCAAGGCTTGAGTGTGGTGAGGCACAACCAGAGCATGGAGAGACACCTGAGGGAAATGGGTCTGTGGCAGGCACCTGTCTCTCCGTGTTCTGGTTGTGGGCATGGCTGCCACAGTCTTCTCAGTTCTTAGGCAGCTCTGCCCTTCCCTGAGGACTTATGCTGCTTCCACAAGACTTCAGGAAGGGTCACCCTTTCTTGGTCTGTGGCCATCTCCAGAGCCATTTGTGAATGAGTGAGGAAAAGACCATGTTCCATACTTGGGGAGTTCCAGGCCTACCTGTACAATAGCATGGCCTCAGTCCTGGGGGTTGGAATTCACATAAATGCTTCCTTTCCCAAGGGATAACAGGAAAGGGGTCCTGAAACAAACCAAAGGGACCCAGTGGGGCAAGGCTGGAGGAGGGCCAGTGGAAGGGCAGGCAGTGTACATGAATTGGCGATCCTCAACAGGTCACCAGGCAATGAGCAGTCAGCAGACACCCTGCCATCTGCCAGCTGCCACCTCCCAACCTTGCCCTAGTCCTGCAGTGTCTACCCGTGGGCAGGGTGCCTGGGGGAGGAGCCAGGCTGGCCAGGACAGGTGCGTTGAAGGCCTAGGCAGGCAGGTGGCCCTTTCAGGCTTAGGCGGATGTCTGGAGGGAGAAAGGCAGACAGACGGTGTCACCCTGAAGTCACCTCAGGCTTGGCTTGGGGCCACCAAGAGCCAGACCCCCCCCATGGAAGCCCCCCTCTCCTAGCCTCCCTGATTAGGTTTCTCCCATAAAGCGACCAGTGTCTCTGCTCAGTAAGCCGTGCCAACAGCGAGTCTGGGAACGATGGGAGGGGTGGCATCCGGCTGGGCAAAAGGCGGGTCTCCTTGTGAACACGGCCCATAAAGTTAACAAGATGCATGCTCGCTGACTAGGTCTGGGTTGGTGTGCCCAGAGACAGGCCATGCCCACTGAGGACCATCATGAGTCTGGCTAACACAGGCATGCTAGGGGTGACCAAGAAGTTTAGAGAAATGACCAATGGAAACATCCCTGAGATATCATACGATCATATGTGAACGAAGATGACCCAGGTTTGCTCAGTGTTCCCTGGCTTCAGACTGGGCTCTGGCAGGTCTGTGTGGAAGTGTGTCACAGGCTAGAATACCCTCTTCCAAAAGTGTACCACAGATATGCAAGGTCAAACCTGGAGCTAGCATCTAAATGCCTTGGGCCTAGCTCTCTCTAGCCTTATCACCTCATGCTGATCTATGCTGGGCTTTGGGTAAGACTTGAGACCTGCAGTACCCTGGTAGCATACCCACCCCTAGAACAGAGGTAATTAACACTGTGACCCATGGCAAAACTCATGAGTGAAATAGAGATTCAGGGTCTGGAGCTAGCTGGGGAGGCCCAGACCTGAGCCTTGCTCTCTCCATCTGGAAATAGAGTCTAAGACAAAGTCAGTTGGCTCTGCCTTCTCTGGAGGGCTAGGGAGATAGCTGACTGGTATGGATGGTAGTAGGAGTCATGAGGAAGCTGCTGGCTTATGACTAGGGCAAGCACGGATGATGCTGTACACCATGCAGGGCCCTTGTGCTTCCTGAACTTATCTTGGGGCTGGACATTTAGGCTACAGGTTACCTGCTTTGACCAGCAAGGTATATACTTGTCTGCAGATATTCTCCACTCAAGCATCACCTGGGTCATAGGAAGGTGCATGGGAAATGACTACAGATGCCACATTGTGGGTGCATGTACTCTGCCTGCTCTTTGACAGCCCCCTCTATGAACTCCCTCTAGGCCTGGCTCTTCCTTGGGAGAATTTTCCTGTTCTAGGTCCTCTCCTCCAGGACCCCTGGCCCGGCACATTGAGAAGCCATTGGTCTGGGCAGGTGGGCTTTGACTATTTTGCTGGGTCTCCCTGAAAGTGGGGCATGGCCTAAGCAAGCCTCACTTCAGGGTGGCAGAATGTTTTTCCTGGGAGCTGTGGAAAAGAAGTTTGGGGCCGGCATCCAGCTAGCTTTCTAGATGGGACACCTTGGCCCTTTTGTTTACACACGGTTTCTTGCTATCCTAGCAGAGAGCATGGGGCCAAACAGGGCCACAGAGCAACCCCCCACCATGCTACCCAGGAAGATTCAAAGACATCGTACCCTTCCATACTTCACTGGGAACAACCTCCTAGCTTCTTTTAAAGACCACCAATGATAGGCGTGGCAGGGCTGTCCGGCCACTCCCAGAGCGTGCCCTGTTTGTCCTACCTTGGGAAGCTGGAATGCTCTGTCAGTATGATGATGACCCAAGGCTGCTGGGGGTTCTGTGCGCCTGTATGGCATCATATGGCATCGCTCTGGGATGTGCTGTTTCTGATCTCTGGGAAGGCAGAGGAACAGTGTGATCGAGGGGGTAGGGATGAGCTTCATGTACCTCAGAGCCTCAGTGGCCTGGTGGGTGGCCTTGCTCTTGGAGCAAAGCAAACTCCTCTAGCAAGCACTTGGACTACTTGACATCATAGGCTACCCAGGCCAGGAGATAGACTGCCACTGTGAAACCCTGGCATTCTATATCACACTCAGCCAGGGAGCCCCCAAGGTCCCTGGGCAGGTCAGGGGTACAAGGGGCATTTGGAGGCCAGAGGCTTTCCTCTCTGGGGGACCTAACTTAAATCTATGCTTGTTGATGGCTCCACTCAGGAACCCAGTACCACAGTGCAGACATTATTCGTAGAACCATCCATGCTGGCCCCACCTCTGCCAAGGACTCCCTTTAAAAGTATGATGTTAGGGATAGGCTTTCCAGATTCTGATGTGCAGCCTCTTTCTCTATTTGCTTGGTGGGCAGCAAGGAGTAAGTGGAGCTAGATAAAGGGCCAGGACTCCCAGGCTGCTTTGCCAAGCATCTGGCTGTGCCAAGCCTGGGGCAGCCATGGCCAAAGCCAAGCAGGATGGGGGCTGGTCCTGGGCTCCATCCAGGCCACCCAGGGCAGGTGGGAAGCAGGGGTCTCCTCCTCTCCAAGGCTACTGTTTGTTTCATCTACAAAATGGTGGAGGGCTGTGTCGGCCATTTTGTGGCATCCTTAGAAGACAAAGGCTATGAAAGCCAGAGGGTGGGACCAGTGGATGTCTGGCAGGGAAGAGAAAGAATAACCTAATGAAACAAGGCTCTGCCCTGTGCTGAGGCCCAAGATGGTCTGGTCAGAGAAAGTGGGTCAGAGCCTTCCTCTCACCTAAGCTATAAGCATGCTCGGGACTTCTAACGACTACCATGCTTCCCTTCAAGGGGTTCCAGGTGGTCATCATGAGGCTTCCAGGGCCTGAGCTCCTTTGGGTTACAATTCTCTGTTCTAGAATCTCTGCAGTACATGTCTTCATCTGCCCCCGCTGGGGAGGCCTCAAGGCAGGGGGCTCAAGTGCCACCTCGTACTCCAGGAACTAGTGGGCTAGACAGCTCCTTCCTGTCTGGGGCCAACAGGTCAAGGGATCAGTTGCCACCATCATGGGACTTCTTCAGGACCGTAAGCTATATCCCATCCCCACTTTCTATGGACCTAGCTAGGATGGTTCATGCTTTCACATCTTGTTCCAGTTGCTTCTTAAACAAGTGACCATCATCTATTCACAAACCCCTTCCTGGCCTCTGGCCAGGGTTCCCACTGCCCCTTACCACGGGGGCTTCCAAGCCTCTCTAGGCAGAGGGTGGTAGACACTCAGTGACTGGCTACAGAGCTCTACAGAGGGGTGGACCAAGGTGTTATAGGGTTCCTTTGTGCCCCTCCCCACACTATTCTCTGTCTTATTCAGGATCCAATTACAAACTAGAGGCAAAAAGGACAGATCTGGTTGTTTGTCTTTTGCTTTTTGAGACAGAGTTTCTCTCTGTAGGCCTGGTGGTCCTGGAACTCGCTTTGTAGACCAGGCTGGCCTCCAACTCACAGAGATCCACCTGCTTCTGCCTCCCGAGTACTGGGGTTAAAATGTATACCACCAATGCCTGGCTAAAAATCCTTTAAAACTTTTTCAAGAGATTTGGAGCTGGAGCTCAGACTGGCCTAGCAAGCAACAAACCCTGGGTTCCAGCCCCAGCACTATATAAACCGGGTGGGGTGGCTCAACCTATAATCCAAGCACACAAAAGGTGTAGGCAGGAGGATCAAGAGTTCAAGGTCAGCCAAGGCTAGAGGCCTTATCTACAAAAACACAACAGTATCTGGCTATTAGATAAATCTTGGTCCTTCCTCACCTTCCATAGGACCCTGGGGCAGCTGGTCTCTAGGCTGGGATTGCCAGACCTTGGGAATCTGGAAGCCCCATATATAACTTCCAGTGTGCTTCTACCTGGGCAGTCCAGCCAACTGTCCACAAGCCTCAGTCTCCCGCAGAGACTGAGCAAGGCCATGCAGCCACCATTTGCTGAGCTGGTGGTTGGCTGTGGTTGGCTTTTTGCTGGGGCTAACACATGGTGGGTGGGGGTCGTGGCTGGCTAATGGGTAGGGGACAAGGCCAGGGGCTTGCCTGTGCTCAGACCTCCCAGGCCCACATCTAGTAGAGCAAATTTCATGGGATGCAATTCTGACCTTGCCAACTGAGCCGTGGATCACCAAACTTTCCATGGCCCCCCACTCTAAGATGGTATCTCAAAGACCTCATGGCCCAGTGTCCCCAGGCCACAGCTGAGATGGGACTAACTCTCTCTACACAGAGGTCCCTGAAAAGGAGAATAGGGTGGTAAGACCCAAATTGTGTATGGGGGAAGGGGAGTCTCTGAAACTAACCCTCACTAACACTAGCACTGAGTAAGCACCTACTGTATATATCCAGTGCATCTTGTGTGCATGGTGCTAAGTAGGGGCTAGGTCATGGACCAGGACTGGCCACTCTTCCCAACCCATCCTGTCCTTTTCTGTTCCTCATATGTCTTGGCTCAGGACCCCTCCGGGACTCCTGGAGCCCTATACTTACAGTCTCCCACATACACTCAGGACTCAGGGACACATTCCCAGCCTGAGCCCTTGTAAGGTGCACTGCTGGACTCTAGATGTCCATCTGTGCCCATGGGACACTGAGAGGATTGCGTGTACTGGAGGCTGCCTATGGCTGGGATGGTGTACCACACATAGGCCTGGCTTAGGGTAGGTACCCAGGAAAGCCCAGGATCTATCAATCAGAGCCCCTTGGCCAAGAGCTACTAGGTGCCCAGGGATACTTGGACCAGCTGCACTCTTGAGGTGTGTCCAGGTATTCTGCTCAGTCTCTCTTCTATCTCTGCCTGTGCTCTCCTACTCTGTCCTGCCCCATCTACCAAATCCTGGAGTGCACCTCCCACCCCACCATCTATTTGCCCTACTCTCAGGCACTGGCTAACATCCCTGACTCTAGGTGCAGACATGGAGACCAGCGTAGTGTGTGTGGCAGCCCATACACAGATTGCA